TTCATAGCCTTCCAGGCATCATATGTCTGAGACTTTATCTTGTCTTCCAACGCTTGTTGGGCCTGTTGCAACCCAAACTGATGGTCCTTTCTTTCGAAGGAACACCTTGCACGCCAGGCCAGCATTAGCACGTGAAGCCTTGTGTAAGAGAAGAGATTGGATGCAAACGCAGACCACTGGTTCGGGACGCAATCTTTCCTGCCCAACAATAGCAGAGCCATGTCCCAGGGGATGCGGTGGGAGGTGAGAGAGTGGAAGGCTGCATCCCACCAACGCCGTATCTGAGCCACCATCGGGCATGCCAACAGACAATGCTCGAGTGTCGCTCGAGCCGGGGGCAACCCTCTACAACAATAGGAACAAATGGGGGAGAGCATCCCTTTTTGTTCCAAGTTGGTCCTGGACACCAGCCAATCCAGTGTGGGAAGGCATCGGTGCAGAATCTGCCATTGGAGCGATCGCAGATTCGTAGGCATGATCTTAGAATATGCGCGTCATGGCAGATTCTGTACCCGGGTAGGGTCGATGGGCGAATCTCTCGTCCATCTTTCAGAGACAACGAGGTCAATGTGCTGCTGCGGTGTGGCTTGTCTGTAGCCTCCTTTGACGGTATAGTCCCAGATGTGCACGTGTTTCCCTTCCACCCACTCCCACTCTGTCGGATCAAAGGTAAGGGCAGCAATCGAGGTGGAGGGCTCATAGACGAGCAACCCTTCTTCGAGGCCGCCAACTACTCTAACAAGCATTAGCAGTTCCCAATTTTATGTGCAGTCGAGTTGCTCATTCCGTACAATCTGAGCCATCCGTGCTCCAGGCAACACCGATGTATAGGCCTCCAGCTCGCATGAACCTTGGTTGTTCGTGTTGACTCTGTAAATGAGTAGTGGAAGCGGTAGGTCAGCGGTTTCGACTACCCAGTCCCCTTGCCGCACAGCGGGCCCTCTTTTCAGTGCCAGTTGCCATGCCAGCGGAATGGCTTCCGTCAGCATGGCCAATTTAGCAGCAATGTGTTTGGTATATTTCAGTTTTTGTTGCAGCTTATCCAGTGCGATCCAGTCCCCTGATTCCACATCCCAGAGACTTCCTATAGTGTATATACATCGCTTGACCCAATTAAGCCACGGAGAGTTGGCCATGAGAGCAAAGGGGTTCCCTTCTCCGTCTAATACGTAGGGGTTGCCAAAGAGGGGTTGTCGCCATATATCGTGCCACCTGCTGGGCGAGCGTTTCGGCTTCGGTCCTCTGTTCCTCCACCGCTTGAGCATAGTCGGCCACAGCGGGTCGTTTGATATATCCTGTTTGGTGGCCTGCGCCTCATTTTCTGGCGGATGCTGATGGTGCGCCGGAGCGAAAATGGACTAGAAAGCGTTGGTCAACCATTGGAAGGGGTGCACCCGACTTTCCACCGGCGACTCCGGGGCCAAGTTTGCAATCTGCAAACAGGCGAGCGGCGCCAAATTCTTAATAGCACAGTCCCATATACACCTGCTTTTGAGTGTCAGATTGTGAATTTGAAAACACGGGTTCAACTCCCGTTATTCGCCTCTTGCATCTGAACTCTGGTGAGCCTAAATCCAGCCAAAGTTCGCGTCAAGACAGTTATTCATTGACTGAAGTCAATGAATCTAACTTCAGTTGGTTAGGCATGCAAGTGGCATTCAGGCGGTTGTGGGTTCAAGCCCCATGGCCGCCTGCGGCGCACTTAGTGCCAACAGACTGTGATAGTCCTCTGGATACCCCTGATCGGTATTACCGGGTCCTATGACCAACACAGGTGTGAGTGCGGGCGTGACTGGGTTGTGTGTGGTGTGTGGGAGAGTGTTGGCCATAGCCTCTGCTGCTACTCTATGAGGGATGGGGGACGATGAGAAAGGGAGGCGCAGCTACTGGCAAAATGCTCGGTCTTTGCGTTGGTCGGACCCCCACCGGCGGCCCTACCCCCCGGGGGAAAACATGAATTACCTCGTTTGCGAGGCCCTATGCTTGCAGGGGCCCCTCTATACAGTCTTAGGTAGGTAGGTAGTGTGAGGTGAACTTGAGGGAAGAATATAAATTTAAAAAAAAAAAAAAAAAAAAAAAAAAAAAAAAAAAAAAAAGTTATTTTTTTCTGTCGTCCCAGATTATCTTTTCATTATGATGGCCCGAACTGCATGGGCTACGTATAGCCATTTCTTTTATTTAGAGTTTGCGGCATCGTGAGTGCCATTCAGAATCCACTCGTCAGACCAGGTGAAATTCCTATTAGTGATCCTGTCCCAATGCTGTATCCACCACTCCCAGATTCTTCTCGACGCAGGACTGGTCAACCACATGTGACGTGAGTCTTCCCACATCCACTTACAGCGTATACAGCTGGTAGGGATGTCCATCCCCTTGGATGCGAGGCACACCGCCGAGGGTGTCGCCGTCATGGATTGCAACCATAGGATGCTCAATCAGCATTGTGAGGGTAGCTCCTTGAATTGCATCCATAGGGAGTAAAGTTGTTCTTCTGATAGCTGCAGGCAACCTTGGTTCAGTCTCCGCTTGGCTACCACCTCTAGTGGAGGTTTCTTCACTTTTTTCCTTAGCCATCTCGTGCCCTCTTTTGTTGAAAATTCATCCAACCCCAACATTTTCTGTTTTTAAGTATGCCACCATTCGATTTTCCGGCAGTCTACAAAGGCACTTACCAGCGGTTTCAGACCGACCGGGAGAGAGGCCATTGTAATCAGTGGACCTCTCCCCAGCGCTTTCTGAGTTCTAGTTCTCACTATTACTTCTGAATAGCCTTTCAGGGAGGATAACCTCAACTTTTCTCCTTCCACTAGAGTTTTGTTGTACGAGAAGTCCGCCGGCCGATTCCATACTGTTGCTGCCCATCCCTCATCCCCCAGCTCATTGGTAATTTGAAGAACCGAGTCTTGTTGAGATTGTGACATTAACCACAGTCTTTCCGTAGGAATTACAGTTTTCGTTAGCAGTTCAATCCAACTGGGGGGATGACCCTCTGAATTGCCTCCAGTCTGATAGTGATATGTCTCAGTCTTCCCAGTCTGTCTTTGA